TGTGAGCGATTTCTAAAGCTACTCTACAAATTGTAGTGATTTTATTGATAACTTATTGATTCACTTCAATACAAGAAATAACATTTGAATCAATTATGCAACTGCATATACTTTATTCCCTATACAACTGTGTGGTGATTTTTATGTATTCAATGAAGATATAAACGTTCTTAACGCCTCCTGAAAAGAAAACCACAAGCTCAAACAGAGGAAACCTGTGGCTGCATATTCAAATTGTGCAACTGTTATTGTCAAGGCATAAACATTTCAAATAATAGAAACATGAATATATTGTTTATTGAAACCAGTTGAAACTAGTTGAAAAAATGATAGTGTCTATTTCAATGAGATAAAAATTAACCCACTATAATTTTGAATAAACGAATTTTTCAATAATATCTCCCTGTTAAATAAAAATTAGCTGACAAATTCCTCAACAAACAACATGACCACTTGACAATTATCGAATGTATACGAATAAATGATCAAACTAATAAAATTTGGGCATTGAAAAGTCAAGTAGAGAAGAAATATTTTTCAGGTAGTGAACGTGAGTTATAATTTTTTCAAATCCTCTTTCTGAACTAAACTGCATATATCAAGTAAAAACAAAAAAAGTTATGTTTGTTTTTTCAAAGAATTTACTCCTGTCTTACAGGTATGAGGTAAACCATTACGCAACTATGCCCCCTGATTCCTCCCAGCTAGAGTTTTTTGAGTAAAGCCTCGCGAGGAACTGTCGAAAGCACTACTAACGACGCAAAAGAACCCTATGTGTTTAATCTATTATCAATTTCACTGAGAATGTTATTATGAAAATCAACGAATATTTTTAATGAGTACCGTTCCAAAAACAGTAACCCTGGTAACAGCATTCAGCTATCTATAACAGTTTCAAGTGTGTGAACATATGTAACAATTCAGTCTTTCTTGAAGTGGGCGATAACACCCCCTTGTGGGCGTTGGAGGCCTATAGGGGGGCATTGAAGAGCACAGAGAAAATTGGGGAGCGTTGAAACGGTTTAAGGGGTGATAGCTAATTTAATAATGTTTTCTTGCTTTTAACACAAACTTTACCGCTCCTTTACGCTTAACGCGGGTTTTCTTGTATAACGCCATCTAGGGGACTAGACAGTAACTATTTCCTGTCTGATAGTTGTCAAACTATGCGAAGCGAGAAGTTTCTAGTCTCCATTCTCGAAAGTACTAGGCCTGCCCGCTGCCTCATATAAAAGTGGGCGCGCCA